TCCTGGATTGAGTTTTGTACATTGCTGGGGACAACAACGTTTAAATCTGGGAATGATTTGATATGCCTTCAACATATGGGTAAAGTCAAGCCAAAAAGAAGAAGATTATTGGCTAATCCTGAGTAAAAAGGCAACGATTATTGTTGCTTTGCTGAAATTCCAAATCCAGTATTGTTCAACTGACTTTATGCTGATTTTGTAGGAAAGCAAACAAAACTGGAGCCAAATGGAGACTTGCCAAAATGAAGATCCACGCTCATAGCGTGGATTTCACGCTGATGGCGTGAAGAACCAGAAACTCCCACGCTCATAGCGTGGAGTTCACGCTGATGGCGTGAAACCATCCTCTCTCCCACGCTCATAGCGTGGATTTCACGCTGATGGCGTGATGATTCAGAGGCAACCATGCTCTTGGCGTGGAACTGGCGCTGAGAGTGCCAATTTGCGGAAATCACAGCCCGTGTTTTCAAGAGGGCTATTTTGGAAGATGAAAAAGAAGATTATAAAAAAGAGGCTCAGCACAGAATTAGGTATTCTGGACCTAAGGAGACCGTCGTGCGTCAGAAGGAGAGCTCTGGAGAGAAATTCTTGATCTTCTTCTTCTTCTCTTTTACTTTATGTTTTTTTATGAATATTGGATTTTTAGCCATGATTATGTTTGGCTAGTTTACTTTTTTATTGTAGTTAGGGTCAAAAACCCTATGTGAACCCTTGTTACGAATGATTGGTTTATTTTCTCCCGTTTATATAAATTTCGTTATCATTACTCTGTGCGTAATTCCTATTTTCTTTATTAGAATTGATCACTCTAATAGTTGATAATAGTCTGAGGGTTAGAATCCTAGATAGGAATATTGAGGTTGTCATCTTGAAAGGGGGTAAGATAACAATTAGTATGCATGCTAGGAATAGATGTATGTTAATTGTGGATGTTTTAATTATCGTATTCATTGCTTAATTCTCATGAGGGGTTACTAAGGGATTAGGATTCCAACTGAAGTTAAATGGTTAAATTACCAAGGGATTGGAATTTAACTAATTATTTTAGATGATATTTATCTGAGTTTTTATATAAATAAGTGTTTTTAAATCAATCCAAAGTAATAAGCGGGGATCATATGGTGAGTGTTTCCTAGCTACAATACTCTTCTCATATTTACAAATCTCTTCTCATTGTTGTTTACAATCTCATTCTTCATCACAGAAAAATCACAAAAACAAGTCTTTATTTTTAGTCCTCATATTCAAACCAATTGACAATATTTGTCAAAACCATTTGAACTCATCCATTTTTTTAAAGGAATATTAATTAATATGAGATCACAATCCCTGTGGAGACGAACATTATTTACCACTTTATTACTTGTGCGATCGGTATACTTGCCGGGAAGCATCATCTAGCGCGGGGAAACAGTGACTTTTTAGTGTCATTAGCGCTAGTAGCACAGACTTGGCGGTTCTGGTGCCATGAAACAGAAGCTTTATTGCATTTTGGCACTGTCAGCGCCAGTCTGGTGCTAGGAGCATGACTAGGTATAAGCTTTCCTTCTTTCACTCTTGTAATTTGATCTCTTTTTAGTGTAAATTTTCCTACAAAATATAAGATTTTTAATGAGGTTAAGCTTGAGAATGAATTTGCAATCTTTATCATAATTATATACCTTTTTGAATCAATTGAAATTAAATCTTTACTTATTTTGACCTTTAAAACGTAATATGCTGAAGGCATATTAACCTATCTTTCGGATTTAAATGCTCTCATGTCCCCTTGAAATATAAGGGAACATTGTCGTTTTTATTTCATATCTAAAGTCCCAAATCCCAGTTTGCGGTCTGGATAGCTGCAAGATACTTGCTTAAGTAGGGGAGAAAAATGAAAGAAAAGTATAAAAGTGTTAATCATATTAACCGAATTAAAGAGAGATACAGAAGTCTTGTTCCATAGAAACATTACTACGTAAAAAAATCTTTGATTAAAAGAAGGGGAAAATATTTATTCTTTTAAATGATATAATTTATATTCTTTTACTCTCATAAAGAGGTAGAACTCACATCTTTATTTTTTTTATCCACCACTATCTCCCACTTTATCTATTTTTTTTTCTCACTTAAAATGATATAATTTTACATCCTTTAAAATGACATACACCTTTTCTTTAAAAGAATTACTAAAGTGTTCTCTATCAGGCAGGGCTGTGCGTGGGTCAGGTTTTTGTCCGACTCGACCTAACTTGGTTTTTATAGGTCAGGTATTTTGACCCGACCCGCTTTAATTTGATCCAAGTCAGGTCTGACTTGGTTTGGATTTTGTTGAACTAGTTCAGAACTGGATCGGATCTGACCTGACTTGGTTTCTGAAGTGGGTCTGACTTGGTTCCTGAAGTGAGTCAAATATGACCTGACCCATTTTTGACTTGGTTTCCTGACAAAATTTCGTCGAAATTTCTACATTGCAAATGACGAGAATTTCGTCACAAAATTTTTTTTTCGTCGGAATACTTTTTGTCGAAAAGCAACGAAATTTTTTCTCTAATGAAAATTTTTACAAAACTAAATTTTCTATCGAAATTTAGTTTCCGTCAAAAGTTTGGACGAAAATGATTTCTTCCATCAAATGTTTTAAACGAAAAAAATTCTATCAAAAATTTTGACGGAATGTTTTTCGTTCAAAATTTCGATGGGAATGTATTCTGACGAAAATTTCAACGAAAATTGTTTCGAGAAAAATGTTTCATTCGAAACTTTCGACGAAATTTAGATTCTCTAAAGAATTTTGACAGAATATTTTTTCCGTCATAATTTTTTATCGAAAGTTTTTTTTTACAGAAATGTGTTCCGTAGAAATTTTTGATGGAAATATTTTTTATGAAAAAACTTGATGAAAATATTTAGTTGAAAATTTTCAATGAAAATTTGTTTCGTTAAAAATTTCGACGAAATTTTTTTGTTGTCAAAAAGTTTAAAGAAACTTTTTCCATCGAAAACTTTTGCCGAAATTTGAAATCTGTAAAGGATTTTGGTGAATCTTTTTTCCGTCAAATTTTTTTGATGGAAATGTGTTTCGTCCAAATTTTCGATGGAAATTGTTTTGAGGGAAATTTTTCATTCAAAACTTTCGACGAAATTTAGATTCTCTAAAGAATTTTGACAGAATATTTTTCTGTCAAAATTTTTATCGAAATATTTTTTTTCAAAAATTTTTACAAAATTATTTTACAGAAATGCGTTCCGTTGAAAATTTTGATGGAAATATTTTTTCAAAAAAATTGACAAAATATTTAGTCGAAAATTTTCGATAGAAATGTGTTTCGCTAAAAATTTTGACGCAATTTTTTTTTGTCAAAAAGTTTAATGAAAATGTTCGTCGAAAACTTTCACCGAAATTCAAAATCTGTAAAGAATTTGGATGAAATTTTTTTCCATCAAATAATTTCGATGGAAATGTGTTTCGTTGAAATTTTTGATGAATATATTTTTTTGTGAAATATTTTGACGAAATTTAGATTCCGTAAAAAAATTTGACACAAAAAATATACCGTCAAATTTTTTTACAGAAATATTTTTAGTCACAAATTTTGATGAAAATATTTTTCGTCAAAAAATTTTGCGAAATTTTTTTATGTAAATAATTTTCGTAAAAAAATTTGACGTAATTGTTTTTCGTTAAAACTTTTCTTTTAATGTAATTGTAATTTTCTTTTTTTTTCTCATAATAAGTATGTGTCAAGTTTTGAGTCAATGAGTCAAAATTAAAACAAGTCGGGTCTAAAACTGTCCCAAATAAAAGTGGGTCAGTATTTAAACCAGTTCAAAAAATATAAGTATTTATGAGTCAGGTCAAAGTCGGGTCAAAAGCAGTACAAGTGAATCAGTTTTTTTGACACTCCTACTATCAGGTCATTTCACGGTGTCAACTTTATATCGTGCAACGCGGTTTCGTACACCTGCCCACTACCACAGCCCATGACAACTTCTTTGAAACTCCCACTTGCTCACACCTTTCTCTAGCCTTAACCCCCAAGTCTTAAACTACCATTAATATTAGTTGTATGCATACCTTATCTTACAAGATTATTCACCATTAACTATGAGAAATTAGAGGTGGGTAGCGCATGCATAATGGACAAGACTAGTCCCATGGTTATCATTCGAGATTGCCACAGGGAAGGATGGGTTTCATATGGTCAAGCAGCCTTTTTTGACTGTATTACATTGATATTATTTTTATCAAATATATTAACCAAATATTATTTATTAAAAAAATATGCGACTAAAGTGGAAAAGCCAATTTTATCACAATTTCAGGAAGTTAAGATGCTAGAATTTGATTAACTTTCAGGCAAGTTTTCTCTTTGCTTCAGTCAATTATCAGTCATCTTCCGCATTCACGTGTATAAATAGATGTTTGGATTTTTTTTTAAAAAAAAATTAGAAGCTACTTATACATAAAAATTAAGTTAAACAGGTCTTCAGAAAAACTCTTATAATGAAAAATTTTCTTTTTTCTAACAAAGGAAAAAACTAAAAGTTAAAAGCTCCTAAGAGAATTTTTTTTAACTCTTTTTAACTTTTCTTGAATTGTGTGTTTTTTATTAAAATAAAAAAATATAGAGAGAAATTTTTTTCTTAAAATAAGTGCTTTTGGATTACATAAACTAAATTTTTTAAATAATCACCAAACAACTTCTAACTTTTCTTTTAACTCTTTTCTTGGACTTTATCTTATAAGTATTTTTTTATTAGACTTATAAGTATTTTTTAACTTAAAAATAAATAAATCCAAACACAGCATGGAATCGTCGTATATACTATATAAGTCCTTTTCTTATTATTTTTACTAAATCTTACTTTAATAAATTTGTGTTGAAACCTGAGTAAAGTTACAAATATACACACCGTCCACTTTTTTATTATTTTATTTTATACTTAAAAATAAAATAAAAAAGTTAAAAAAAGAAACATCTGGAAGGGCAAAGAATTCACCTCCGCGTTCTGTTTTGTTTACAAAATACTGTGTTTTCGCACTTCTGTATTTGCGAGTAGTTGTGTCGATTTTATTTGAGTGAAAGTGAGCAATCATGGCAAGGCGAGAATCATTATCGTCCTCTTCCTTTAAATACGATGTGTTTCTGAGTTTCAGAGGCGAAGACACTCGTTATGGTTTCACTGGCCATCTCTACAAAGCTCTTTGTAACCGGGGAATTCGCACCTTCAAGGATGATAAAGAGCTTAAAAAAGGAGAGAAAATCACACCAGCACTTAAGAAGGCAATTAAAAAATCCAGAATTGCCATCATTGTGTTCTCTAAGAAATATGCTTTTTCTTCATTTTGTTTGGAGGAACTTGTCCATATCTTTCGCTCCATCAAGGAAAAGGGTAGGTTGGTTTTGCCAGTTTTCTATGATGTTGATCCCTCTGATGTGCGAAAGCATAAAGGTACTTATGGTGAGGCATTGACTAAGCATGAGGAGAGGTTTAAGGATGACATGGAGAGGTTGCATAAATGGAAAATGGCTCTGCGTGAAGCAGCTGACTTGTGTGGCTTTACTCTCAAAATAGGGTACTGTTTTATCTTCCCATGTTTTGTTTCTTTAATTTTCATCATTTGTCTTATGATTTGGTTTTTAATGTTAGTTAATATGAATCATTCATAGTATGATTTTCACTCAATAATTGGGGCAGGAATAAGTGTGAATCTGAGTTCATTGAGGAGATTGTTGAAGTGGTCTCCCACAAGATTAATAGCTTTGCAACAAGATTAATCTCACTTCACAAAATCTTGATGCGGCCAAGGATATGGAGATTTGTAACTGTTGATTCACTCCTAGTTGGATTTGTCTATTTGGGTTTGGGTTTGGGTTTGAGCTCCTCGTTGTACTGCCTGATTAGAAAGTGGATCCTGTGGAAGATCTTCGTTTATGTTATTGATCTCCTATGTTTCTTCTGTGGCAGCCTAACACATTTATACTTGTTGTTATTTGTTGGAGCGGTTGTTTTTTATTCCCTTCTCAATCCTGGTGCCAATATCGATGATGCCTTGGCAGATCCTGTACCCCAAGTATCGATTACAGTAAGTCCTGCTCGGCGGCGAAACCCTAAAAACCTTTTTTTATTTTCTTTTTAACACATAATGAAAGAAAAAGACAAACTGAAAGATCACAAGTATGGAAATGGATTCTCTCGTATGAAAAAAAGTCGTATGATCATGTTATTTGATCGCAATTATTCATTTAAAAATTATACATTTTTTTTTCTCTTATTTCATTATCAATGAGTGATTATGATCAAATAATATGAGCACATGATCACTTTTTCAAACGTGAAGATTCACTCTCCACAAATATCCTAATCACAAATAGTATTTTTATTGTATCTGTAAAACAAATAGTAATAATAATAATAATAAATTAATATATACTTCTCCCCTCCCATGGTCCCAAACATCAATCATTCATACCACATCACACCATGACGCAACCCCTCTGACCCAACCAACCCATCGTCACTCACTACTCACTCCACACTCTATATTTCCATTCTTCAAATAAACGAGCAAAATCTCATCGTATCTATCACAGCACCACAATAGTATTTTTATCATGGGAAAAATGTGAATTATTTATAAGGATATTACATTGTTTCATTTTTAAATTAGAAAAAGAGAAAAATCATAGAAAAAGTAATAGATTTATTTTTTTTAAAATATAATTTTTTTTTTGTGAGATTAAAAGAATATAAGATATGTCGTTCAAAATGACACAGTTTTTTCCTTTTTATCATATCTTATCAGGCAAACACCAAATTAGGCAAAAACCAAATGGTAGAGGTTAGTTTTAATTTTCATTTGTTCCCCTTATTCTCAATCAGAACTACTAGCATATTCCAGAATCCTGGAATTTAATATATTTTTTTCGGTCTTAACGGTCAACTAACGCGTTTCTTTAATTTTTGTGTCGTTTATGTTGTATGGCAGAAAGAGGAGGAGGAGGAGCCGAAGAATGAAACGGAGAAAGAGGCTGACGATGGAGGAGCCAAGAAAGACGACGTACCTGTCCCTGTCGTTTACAAGATGAACTGTACTTGCGAGGGATGCCTCGAGAAGATCAATAAAACCTTTTGCTATTTCTATTCCGAAAGTAATTATCAATCAGAAATTGAAGAGTCATCAATTGATTCACATAGATATTTTGAGATTTGAAATTGAGAAAAAAGAAAAAGAAAAAGAAAACTGAAATTGGGGATATGCAGGTGTGAAAATCGTTGAAGCAGACCGGTGGGCTAACGAACTAACAGTTACTAGTAAAATGGACTCCAACAAACTACGAGATAAGCTGGCCGACATAACCAAGAAGAACGTTGAGATTGTCTCCCCTCAGCCCAAGCAAGATGCCTCCGCCGCCGCCGAAAAACCGCCGGAGAAGAAGTCCGATGAAAAGAAACCCGATGACGAAGAAAATAAGCCTAAAGAGGTATATATTTACGTGGGGGATATTTTGACTTCCAAAAGTGTCCATTATCACCTTACTACCTATCAAACCACCGTTGGATTATAGAGAGAAGGTTAAAAAGTTTTTGAAGAGAGAGAAAATGTTAATCTAATGGTGATTAGATAGGTAGTAAGGTGGTAGTGAAAATTTTTGGTAGTCAAAATATCCTCCTTTTATATTTATAGGGTTTTATAATTAACATTCAACATGAGAATTAAAATTTTCCTACACACCTTTTGATTTCCGTGCTGACATGGGTTCTATATATAATTTTTTCTAACACATAGGTCCCACATACTTTTTATCTCTACAATATAATATTTCAATTAACATTCAACATGAGAATTATAAAACCCATATTTATAATGATTAATCTTTTTTATTTTTCTCTTGTTCATCTTCGACCGTTTAATTTAAGGGAAATATATTTTATGTAATAGAGGAGTATTTTTTTTTTCCAACACATAATAATTTTTGTATTTTTTTTTTTTTCTATTGTGAATGGTTCCACACACATGAGAGCTTATCTCTTATTATATTATACGTGATTAATAAAGCTCTTAATTTAATTACCTTAATTAATTTATTAACTGGTTAATTTGGTTCAGCACACGGTGGTTTTGAAGATCAAGTTGCACTGTGACGGTTGCGTTACAGAGATTCGAAGCATAATCCAGAAGTTTGAAGGTGTGAGAGAGTTGACCTTACACCAAAGACACAAATCGCTTAATTTTAATTTTTTTTTAAATTGATTATTTTAATTAATTAATTAAGTGGAGGTTGAGTGGCTAATTAAGGATATTGGTGGTGTTGCGCATGCAGGTGTTCATATGGAGAACCTTGACTTAGAGAAGGGCTTGGTGACTGTGAAGGGAACAATGAACGAGAAGGAGCTGATATCGCATCTGAAGAAGCATATGAAGCGAAAGCTGCGAAACGTCGAGGTGGTCCCACCTAAGTAAATATTGTATTAAAAATAATAAAATGTATAGAATAAACATAATTAAGTAAACGAGAAAAGTAAAGTTGTGTCATTTTAAGTGAAAGAAAAAATAGATCATGAGAAAAAAAAGTTGATAAAAAAATGTAAAGATATGAGTTCTACCTTTTTGTGAGAGTGAAATAAGAAACATTTTTTCTTTAATAAATGTTTATTTTGATTTCAGTGACCAATTTTAATGGCTTTAGTGAGTGTAACATTAAATCATGCTAGACGTTAATAACTTATTCTTTATTCATTATTTTTAATGTCATATAAATCCATCGAGAAAAGCTAAAAGCCCATATGAGGGCTGATTTGTGCTGCCTCCTCCATGTCTTGAAGCTCTCCATATTCAAATACAATTGTCAAAAAATTTAATTTCTGAGGCCATTGTTGTAACGCCCGGCAACATGCAAGGATTAACGACTGTCCCCACACATTAACACGAGACTTTTCAGCGTGCTTTGTCCTCACTCGCACACTTCTCGGGAAACTTCTCAGTAGGTCACCCATCCCAGAATTGCCCCAAGTCAAGCACGCTTAACTATGGAGTTCTTCCGATCCGGGCTACCGAAAAGTAGATGCATCTTGTTAGTATAGGTAGTACCAATTAATTCTTATAAGCCATTCCCAACTGTACCGTCCCATACTAGCACAGTCTCTGGAATCCCTCTCTTTCGAGTGTTGATTCGATTCATTCATGTACCCCCGTCCCTAGAAGACTGCCAGGAGCCGCTCCTTGTCCATGTCCTTTCGCACCGACGATCACTCCCCGTCCTCGTCAGCGCCCGGGATGTTACAATTGCAGATTTTGTGTAATCTTAATTTCATCGTCTTTTAAATATGAAAAAAGTATCTTGTCATCGTCGGTAAATTTTGTTCCTTTTCTATGCAATTTGTTCCACTTGTGTGAATTGTGGAAGAATGAATATACCTTCAACCATACTTCAGAAATGAAAGCAATATCTTCATTAAAAAAAAAATGTCGCCTCATCATATAAACGAAATCTTACACAAGATTTAATTCATGACTTTATTTGCAATTGTTTGATTGATTTTGTGAGTAAAACAACATGTCGCCTTTTCAAGGAATAGTAACCAAAATGGCACTGTTTGACATCTTTTTTATTTAAATGTCACGTTAACAATGTTATTTTCAATATGTCACGTGGACAAATTCGTTGAGCACTGTAACGAATTCAGTATGTTGATGTGTCACGTTTCTGGTGGATATCAAGTTTGCTACTTAAAGTAGCGAACTTGGTAGCAATTAATGTTGACACCCTGGACAAATTTGCTGCCACATGCAGCGAACTAGGCATGCCACGTGTCGCACATGCATGTAGTTCGCTGAGGGTCCAAGCGAACTATGTGCCTCATGGCACCACCCCCCATAGTTCGCTGAGTGGTCCAGCGAACTTGGTGACAAGTGGTAGCATAAGACGAAGTTCGCTGTACCCTGCAGCGAACTTGGTGACACGTGGCAGCTCTATGCTAGTTCGCTGCATGGGACAATGAACTACTTGCTGACAGTTACAGTTCGCTAGCCTTTATAGCGAACTTAGTACTATGTATTCCCTCCCCCCTCCCCCCAACCCCTCACTTGCAGTTTGTTCTTTTGATGCGGTATTTTTTCCAAAGAATGCAGTTTTTTTTTCCTTGTTCTTTGTAATTTCACGACATAATCTGTGCAATTTTTTTCTTCAAAGAATCAAGTTTCTTTTCCTTGTTCTTTGTAATTACACGACATAATGAGTGAGAGTACGAATGATAATGCACTAACCTCATGGTTGCGCAGACGCACAACGTGATAAAACCTAGCCTGCCTAAGGTATGGCTGGATATCCTCCGGCATATCGAGGTGATCGCGTGTTGCAGCGTGTCTGGCATTAAGGACACGATCACGTACAAATGGGTCATCAGATGTGTTCCACACATGGGTGAAAATGTGTTTCTCCTGCAACGTGAGGAGAGAATGGTCGGATGGATCCGGGTCGATGAAACTTTGGTGCGAGTCGTGCTGCTCCATGGATCTATTTACAACAAAAATTATATCACAATTACGACATTATATAATATATAAAAAAATAAATACTAATTACTAAGAAATAAATAAATATCAAACACTATTTAATTATTCTATAATCCATAAATAAATAATAATAACAACATTAATATACATAGCACAATTAATATAATTAAATAATACATAATCTTATTAAATAATGCATAAATGATATGACACAATTAATGTTATTAAAAAATTAATATGATACAATTACTAATTCATCTAACCTAAGTTGTCTACCTATAAATAAATAATATAACACAATTAATTTGGAATAATAACGCATAATCAATAAGTAATATAACACAATTAATATTCTACACTATATTTTAAACCTATAACTAAATAATGTCATTTAATTTAATATTATTAAGAATTTCATAATAAAAATTTATTAAATACAAAAACTTAACAACATTAATGTCAAAATTTTCTAACCTATTTTTCAACCCTATAACTAAATAATGTTATTATTATCTTTTTACTAGATACATTAGGGTGTTCACAGCTTATATTATTTTTGTCATTTTTTAAATTGGGACAAAATTAGGTGTTCACACCCGGGGTGATTTTCTTAAATGATATTTTTAAAAAAATTTACAAACAAAATAAAATCTAGGATAAATAAGATTGTCAAATGTTTTTTTGAAATATCATACTAAATATGGATAAATAAAATTATTATTCTCGATTTTCCAAAAATCCTAAAAAAAAACCTTCAACAAGTGTTTTCTATCAATATTAATTTGGAACTCATCTAATAATTTCTGTCATGATAGGTCATTTCACGGTGTCAACTTTTTTTGTCCTGCAACGCGGTCCCCGTACACTCCCATGGCCCATGACAACTTCATTGAAACTCCCTAGCACTTGCTCACACTTTTCTCAAGCTTAACCCCAAGACTTACACCACCGTTAGTATTATTTGTATGTATGTAGTGTGTAACTCTACCTATCTTACAAGGTTATCCACAGTTAACTATGATAAATTAACAGCAATCTTTTTCTCATGCTATTAGAGAGGAGGAAATTTCTTACACACTCAAATTTATGGTAGGATCCACACATAAAAAATAAAAAAAATAAAAAAAATTATTGCACGTAAAACGAACTCTCACTAACATAAGAAGAGAATTCTCCTACAACATAAGAATTATTTTTTTCATAAATTAAAGGGTAAAAGGAACAAAATTGGAAGACAGGGGACATGAGAACAATTATATAACAAATTAAAATTATGCTAAATCGTCCTTAATTTAACCACCTATTTTTTTTTTCTTGCATCCGGACCATAGAAATATCACTCTCTAGGGAAATTTTTAAAATGTTCTAAGGTAGTGTTTGGTTGAGGTGTTTTGGTGAGTTTCCCATCAAAGTGATTCTGGCTTTGTGTAATGTCCACGTTTGGTTTAGAGATTTGATGAAATTTATCCATCAATGCTAATTGCCTATCTATCTAGTATTGCATGTCATTTGTGTGAAAAACACTGTTTCAGAAAGCTCTTTGGATGGTGGTATTTGTCTGAAATCCAGATAAGTTTTTCAAGTGATATAATACAGTGACCACATTACCCCTACTCAAAGTTTGCAGAAAAGGGTAGCTGGTCGAAGAAGAGACCCGTGATTTGGATCTACCGCGTCGGAGAATTAATACAATCACACAGCTCAGTCACTAAACACTAAACAACAGTAAACATAAACAGAACAAATTAAAAACAAAGGAAAAAAAAACAGAAGTCTTAACAATTGTTCTTCTAATTTCATAGATGATGATAATATATCACGATTCCATTACAACACGCAGTAACCTTAAACTTAAAACCATCAGTGAGAGCAACCTCCCTTCAAGAAGAGAACCAAAACAAAAGAGGGGGAAAAAAGGGTGGGTTCATTTGAGGCCATTTTCAGGTGTTGAAATCGCTAGTCCAAGCCAAGAGAAGCAGTCTCCACCTACAAACCCACCTTTGCCGTTTTCAAACTGCCATGAATTTTCGGCACCAGGAGCAGCAACACCACCGCCAATGTTACTGCCATCTGGCATTCCGGGGAAATTCCAGCCTGATGAGCAGGTGCCGAAGTCACAACGGTGGAGGAGGAGATTGCAGAAACAGTACGAGAGCGTTTGGCTTTTTTGCGACTGCCACCACCGACGGGACAATTGGTTTTAATAGATGGTTATTTTTAAAGGATAATTTCGTAATTTCAATAACTTTTTCAATCAATATTTTATTTTCAACCAAACACACTTTCATAATTTTCATTCAATTTTCCTGGTAAAATTTTACCCAACCAAACAACTTTTTTAAAATTTTCCTATCCAACTCACTTTCCCTGCAGATTCCTAGCAATTACATTTCCCTAGTAAAAAAAAATTTAACCTCAACCAAACACCCCCTAAGAGTTTCATCTGGACAATTTTTAATATTTTTTTACTAAAAAATCGACATCTGAACAATTTTTTTTTTTTTTTTTTTGTCTCACTTCTCTCTTCTCATTCCTCAACTTTTTCTTTCATTCTCTCATGTCTCCGTCCAATCAAATTTTTTTTTGCAGCCGTACCATAGAAATATCGCTCCTTGTCTAGCGTCTTTTTGAATATAAGATGAATTAAGGTGGACGCAGGGTTGACTTACCTAACTCCATTATTTGCAATGCATCGATCATTCAGAGGCATTATGCTTATTATTAATCAACAACATAGCATTTATCCTCCATAACCATCACTCATCTCCATCACTGCTTTCTAGTTCAAGTTTCCTATATCCTTCTGAGTTTGAACCACCATGGACATATCTATACGGTATATGATAAATGAATCATTCCTTCTTCTTCCTTTTTGGGTTTTGGTTTGTTCCTTAAAATTTCATAAAAGAAAGTAACATGAACCGGTAATTCTTAATTATAAGCATTGCTAATGTGTTGGGAGTTTGTGTCCTTTGTGGTTGTAGATTTCAAGGTGAAATGGGGCTTGCACCTTTTGTGACAAGCTCTGATCTTCTCCAAAGATCATGGGATGTTATCTCATCTCGTCTTGAAGACATCGTTTCAAGAGAGGGAGTAAGAATATCTTGGAATGTTTACAAAGAATCATTTGTGACGATTATAGCATTTAAGGCCACACAAGATTCTGTTGTTCAACCGGATTTGGTTACATCTTCTGATCTTAAGGAGAAGAAGTTATTCCATGACTTTGATTTTCTTCCTACTGAAAGCAATCCAATTTTCTCTGTTAACAACACTGCAGTTTCCCTCTTTATTGAAAATCTCAATGAGCTTAATATGTTGAAATCCGAGGTACATCTTCTCCTTTATCCTTTTCATTATTCTAAAGTCTTATTTGAAAGATGCATATTTATATGTTTACATTTTAAAAGCACATCTACTTAACTTCCTTTACTTCTTTTCTATGCTCATTTTCTGAAATTAATTTGTTTTTGGGATTAATATTTCTTGTATAGTACGACATAATCTTATGCTACACATATATAAAAATATATTGGCTTTATATTTTTTTTTCTCTCTTTTCTCCTCACATTATTCCACATAGGCACTACATACTTTTATATGTGTATAAGAGACAAAATTATCTCCTACAACGTTAATAACATTAAACGTGTTCTTGAATTTCAGCTAAGGGTTACTGCCTGCTGTCGTGTGGGAGAAAAATATGTGGTTAATTTTTCAATTAACCTTATAGCAATACAATGTTACGTAATTTCTTCTTAAAAATAGTATAGATCTTCTTTATGTTTCTAGGCATACAATGTTACTTGTTCCCCCTGTAAACCCTTATGATACAATGCAGATTATTAGTTGTTCCATTCCATTGATTGTTACTGGACATGCTCTTGGAGGATCAGTTGCTACTCTCTTCACCATATCACTATTAGATAGCATTGGTTCAGGAAAGATTCGCCCACTCTGCATCACCTTTGGTTCACCCCTTATTGGTGACAAGGGATTGCAACAAGCCATATCACGTAGTTCTAATTGGAATTCTTGCTTTCTACATGTTGTGTCACACAAAGACCCACTTCCAAGACTCTTCATTACAAACCATGGTTCTCAAACCAATGCCTACATTCCTTTCGGAACATTTCTCTTGTGTTCTGATCAAAATTCTGCTTGTTTTGAGAACCCTGGCTCTATTTTGAGACTATTCGGGGTATTTGACTCAAAAAATGATGGAAATCAAGGTTCTCAACCTGTTGATTATGGTGAGATAGTGAAAATACTCAATCAAAAAACTCTGTGCAAGGACCTTTCAACTCTGCCTAGAGAAATAACTAATACACATACTCAAAAAAGAAACTATGTTTCGCAAGTAGTTAGTTGGATTGGAGATCGTCTTTTAACCAAAAAGAACTCGGTTGAAACCCAGCACGAAAGGAGAGGAGTAACTAATACATACACACTACTTGCAAGTATCATTTTGCAGCTTTCGGCACTAGGATTGGCACCAGCTATGCAGGTAGGTAAACATCTTATATTTCTTGAAAAACTAGAATGACATTTTTTTGGAAATATTCTGTCGGTTCATAAGAGGACAAATCAGAGCAGTGGTAAAACTGTTCTTTGATGACTAAAAGGTCATGAGTTCGAATTCAGGAAACAGATTTCTCCCACCCCACACTCGCTAGTCGGGTTTAACGGGAAATGGTTTTTTTATTCTATCTGTTCATCGTTTAGTGACTAATATTTGATTAACGTAAATCCAATCTTTACTAACCTCATTTTTAAACATGGTAGCCGCAAGAACTGAAGGAATATGCCGCTAAGATGGAAAAAGAGGAGGAGAAAATCAAGGAGATGAGGAGGAACTTATTTGATCCATACGTGAATTTGAATGTAATAAAGATAGACATGGTCCAACTTGAATGGTACAAGAAGAGAGCTAAAGAAGATGGAATAGGGTACTATGACAAGTACAAGAGGCGCTTACCAAATGACCAAGATGGAAATGTTGAGAAGTTCAAGGACAACCTCACAGATTACTGGTTAAAGATGGCTGAAGTGGCAGAGATAAAGTCTAAGAAAGAAGGCTCATATTTTCGTGCCTGCTGGCTCGGTGCTGGGACTACTTACAGGAGAATGGTTGAACCCCTTGCTATTGCTCAATACTATAGAGTGGAAGGTAATAAAAACTATGTGACTAAAAAAAGGCCTAAACATTTCAAACTGTTGGAGGATTGGAAAGCCACAAGTGACTCAACCACTACAAGTAAGAAGAATATGGAAGATATTTTAAGCAAAGATTCTTGCTTTTGGGCATATGTTGAAGAGGCTCTACTTTCATGCAAAGAGTTGAAGGTTGCCAAAGAGGATAAAGAGATGTTGAAGAAATTGGTTGAATTTGAGGAGTATGTTTATGGGCAGCTCAAGAAATATGAAGTGTCACCAGAGATTTTCTTGGCAGAAAGCAGCTATATGCGTTGGTGGAACGAGTATAAAGCAATTAAGGGAACTTCAAATAATTCAGAACTGGCAAGGTTCATGAACGATGCTACAAACCTTAAGCAATATGCTGAGGGAGCTTATGATTTTCCCTGAAAGGATAATAACCATGTAATAAAGGGGGTGTTTATGACAGTGATAAAATTATAAATTATGATATAATTGCGAAACTGGTTGGTCCTTTGTTTGGAAGTTTATTATAAACTCTTTAATTTTCTATTCCTAGAAATTTAGGGTTTGTGACTTTGTGTTGTAGAATAGTTAACAAAATTGAGGTTTTTTATGTGTTTTTTTTTTAAGTTAAAAGTTGAAACACAAAATAAAAACAAATCAGCCACAGACCCTTATTGATTTCTGTTTTTAACAGTTCTTTAGTTTTCAGAACAAAAAAACTCGTTTAGTAAAGTTTGTTTTGTAAAAAAAAAAAGTTTTGAAAATTTTAATTATTTTTTGCTTTTAGAATCAAATTTAAATACATATCACATATTTCCATAACTATTTTAGGAAGCAGTTTTAAGAAAGAAAAAACCAGAACAAATCAAACAGACGTTCTCTAAATTTGGTTATAAACAAAAAAAATTAACAATTTTTAAATCTTTTTATATAAAACAAGTCTTATCAAAAGAATTTTTTATTTTTTTTTCTGAAAATTTAAAACAGGGCCGTTGGTTCTTGTCAAAGGAGGAGCTTTTCAAAGAGGCAGGTGTTGAAGTTCTCCCTCCTATTTTTATTTTATTCATTTTAATTTTTTTTCATTCTATTGTGTTGCATTAATTGATCATCTCTTTAAAAAATGAATAACTTATTATTTCTATTATATGAAAATTCCATCCAAAAATTTCATATAACTTTAGATACTTGCATGAATGCCTCATATCATCTGAAAAGAAGTATTTCTGTCTATTCATATCATATTATAACACAATATGGTTCACTCCAAACATTTGATATGATAACATTATTGTTGCCTTGCTAATGTTTATGCAAGTAGCGCGCAAGTATACGCAACAACAAGTAATATAGGGCTTTTATGAGTCCAAATTATTGTTCTCACAAGGATCTTTGGCGTTTTTGACTTTGTATAAAATTGTAATTGCTAATCAGAACAAAAATAAAATAAAATAAAATAAAATTAAGTGAACTGCTATTCTAAACCAAGTGCAAGGAAAATATTTTTGAGAAGATTTTCTTTTTCAAATAGAGATTCAGTTGATGCAAGAAGTTGAACTACTGACTGGAAATTAATTAAATAGAAACATTTATATTTTTTTTATGATTTTCTCTCAAGTTGTAGGACAGAAAATTAAAATTCTGATTTGAACAAAAATAAGAAGTAGCGACAAAGATTGATTTAAAAACAGTGTTTGAAAACAAGTTGGATTTCAATTTCCCCTTCCTTCATTTGCTATTAAGTTGTTTTAACAGAAGATAGATGTTGCTTTTCCAACAGTTCCAGCTTAAGAAAAATACACAAACAACCATTGTTTCCCAACAACGGTATTTTCCCATAAATAACAGATGACACATCCCTGTGTATCCATTAGTACAAGACCTTGAAACACCATTTCCTTAAGTTACATGGGGGTAACTTCATCCCTGGAGCCATACCCATTGAGAGATATCTCATTCAACTTTCCATGTGCTTACAGTGAGGTCTAGTGTGGGTTATTTCCCAATAATTCCACACCAGTAGGAGTAGCCTTTGTGTGGCCATCACATATCAAACTTAGCATAAAAAAAACACACAGTAAACAAACTGGAATTTAATACTTTAAGCTTAAAATAGCAACTAATAACAAATGAGTTCTTGATACTCTTTCAACACAACTCTAAAGAAATTTAGCTCATCACCATAGGTTTATGAGCATACAAACAGCAAAGAGAAATTACAAACATGAAATAAAAAAAACTCCGAACAAAGAAAATTAAAAGGCAGAAGCTATATCCAGAGAATAGCTCTGCTACAGTGCTCATAAAATTACACAAATTAAAATCCCTAAAAATCAGAACAGAAGCAGTAAAATTAAATCGAAAGAGACGAAGAGAAGAAGAGAGAGCTTACAATGCTTTTCTCCCTCCTTTTATAGTTGATACTCCTTCATGCATAATGGTTCACACCTCAGCCAGCACGTTTGCTCCATGCTCTTGCCAATCGTGTGTTTCCCTTGCAAGGATAGCACCCACACTCCAAAAGAATCTTCAGCTCACACTCCAAAAGAATCTTCAACCCACACTCCTAACAAATTCCAGCTCACCAAATCGGTTAAGGGATGTGTTTGGCTTTTTCTGTATCAAGCAAAAGTTGGTTAAGGTTGGTGTTTTGTTTGGTTTGGTTCTCAAAATGAACCGTGGGTGAGGCTAAGGCTCTGTGGCTTGACCGAAATTAAAGGACGGTATGGCTTGGTGGTTCGATTGTAGAAAGGAATCCGGATGGTTGGCTTGAGATGGGGTTTGGATGGTGTATTTGCTCACAGGGGGTTGTGCTAGGGTTCACACGTTTTCTTCTTTTGGTTTCACGTTTCTGAGTTTCTCTTTTTCCTTTCCTTCTTTCTTTCTTTGCTTTTCTTCAATTGGGCTTCTGATTGGCCTTCAAAAAAGGATCGGCCCACTTTTTCTTTTCTTACTTTATTTCTTATTCTTTTCTTTCTCCTTCCTTTACTTTTCCTTCTTTCCTTGGCCTCTTCTGACTTATATTGTAAAGGTCCAGCCCAATTCTTTGTTTTCTTTTCTTTGCTTGGTCAATATCAACAAGTGGCCTGAAAAATACAAATACAAGACCATTAATATTTAAATCAGAATCATTCAACTCAACACAGTTGGGGTTAATATTATACACAAGATATTCTTTTCATTTACATTGTCACATTAAAACCACATGTTTCAAGTCATATTTCATGGACTTATCACACCCCCAAACTTACATTGTTTCTTGTCCTCAAGTAACAAAAGAAATCAGCACAAGGATTTATCAAATTAATCACTTTCCACAACCAAAGAAATTTCATTACATCACTCATTGTTACTCAGAGTTTCAACTGACTAAAACACTTCTCAACAACAGTTCCACTTTCAACTTTTCAAAACCTTCAGTGATTCAAATTAACACAAAGATCAAAGGAACAAAGGTGTGTACTTAGTTCAGCAATCAATCAATCATAAACCAGGAAGCTTGGTGATCCTTTTATTCCATAAAAATACTCAGCAAACAGTGTGTGAATTTCAAATGCATAAGTATCTCAAAGGCTGTAAAATAATGACAGCAGAGATCTTGAATTATTTTTTTTAACACAGAATGCAGAATTTTGCAACAGGCAATAGGGATGGCAACTTTTCACGTCCTCACTTAATCAAGGAAATATTCACTCAATGCTCCTGGGTCCTGTTTCTCTCAATCCAACACTGGGAAAAGATGTAACATAGGCTTGATAAGATGCTCTTGTCTCTTAAGTGACACACTGACTTAAGCTAAATCAAAGGGGCTTGCATAGGTTGTAACTTGGCTGAGGTGAAGGTGGAAAATTTGTGGGGAATTAGCTAACTTAACTACAATGGAGAGGAGAGACAACATGAAGCATACTCAAACAATTCAATGGCTGCTACTTTGACTGCTATTTTCCTCTCTTTTTTATGACAACTTTCTCAAGGGCCAAATTTGTTTACATTCAAGCTTTATCAAACCCTCAAAGTACTTTTAACAAATCTTTTTCTTCCTTTTTTTTTATGAAACCAAACTTTTCCTTTTATTTGCAGTTTCTTACTTTCACTTCATATTACAGCCAACAACATCTTGCTTCTTTTTCCATCTCCATCATAACTAAGAGGTATGGTAGATTGCAGGATATGGTAAGATGTGAGTATGTGAGAAGAAAAGGTTAAAGGCTCAACATAGGGTTTTCAATGGATGATGATTTAAGGATGGCTTATTGGTCTGAAAGTGGTTAAACAAAACAACAAAAATGCCCTCATCATTTTAAACTTAAGCAAGTATTACACTTCATCAACTGAGCATCAGAGCAAGTTCTGCCTCACTACCCCAGTGTAGACCTCTTATGAAAAAAAATTGACTGTGTAGGCTCAATGACTCACTGTGTTGGGTCAAGTCACCATCTCTCATGCCTATTTTTACCACTTACACTCTACATTAATCAATTAATCTTCTCAATCTCTCATAGCCATTATCACTCAGCCATTGATCCACGCATGTCACTCTTCTTTTACACAACTGCCCTGGGTTCCTTTCTTTCTTCGAAATTTCCAGCTACCTAATTGTGACACTGACCACTTACTACTAAACACCATACAACTCTTTATTCACAAAACAACAAACAAAAGCTAACAACATGGCAACTACTGAGTTCAACAAAACTGCAAAAGATCACAAATATTCACAAAACATCTAAACAACAAAAGAAAAAAAAAATTAGAACAACAAATGAAAGACAAAAATTAAAAACAGCTATTCACCAATTCATGAATTTACTCCCCCCAAATTTAGAGGAAACAATGTCCTCACTGTGGCTCTACAGGTTACCAAAAATTTCAAAGATTAGGAACAAGGTAACCTGAGGCCAGAAGATGTTCTGGCCTATTCTTCCTCATAATCTGAGCTCCCAGACTCAGATTTATCAATGTCTTCAGACTCAGACTGTGAACATTCCACTTCATCCTCAGCCTCCTGCTCACTGTCTTCCTCCATTACAGTTTTGAGCTCGGCCTTCCTCTCTTCCTTGAACTGGATGGTGTATCCTCCTTTTTGGTAGGATGAGAAGGAGGAGGACGTGCTGCTTTTGCGAGAAATTGCTCAACCTGTGGGTCAGTAAAAACTGAAACAGGTGGCCAAGTTAAGCTTTGAGGAAATGGAGGAAAATCAGGAAAATTGACAAAAAAAAATTTCAAAAAATCATTCAAGATTTTATCTCTTTCTGCAATGTAATCATTTAATCTGACCCGATCATACATGAATGTGTAAAACTGATCATATGTCTTATGAAACAACAAATCATGTTTGTGATTATGATCTTGCATTTGAGAGAATAACAGGTAAATGTGTGTCAAGTCATTGTGCAACCAACCAGGAGGAAAATGATCTAAAGCAGGAGCATCCATCTGCTCAACATGTTTCCGAATATTTT